GACACAGCGAGAGAGGGAACACAAGCAGGGGGAGTGGGAGAGGGAGAAGCAGGCTTCCTGCCGAGCAGGGAGCCCAATGCGGGGCTTGATCCCAGAACCCTGGGATCATGACCTGAGCAGAAGGCAGACGTGTAACGACTGAGCCACCCAGGCGCCCCAGGACTGAGATTAAAAGCGGAACACGCCCTTCTCCCTGAACTCTGGAAGCCGCTAAGAAATGAAAGTTTTCATCAGAGTTTGATTCAGGCATTTAAGTTCTGATTTAAATAGTGTTTAAATTTAAGCATGGTTAACATCTGCTCTCGATCCAAAGCCAGCTCACCTTTAAGTACAAAAGTGGAGGCTATCCCCTGTAATCTATTTTTGTCTTACTGACTTAGATTTATCAAGCAAATGCAGGTGAGGGGTTTTTTTCCCCTGAATTATTTCAACTTGCATCCCTTCACTTCATCCATGTCTACGGATTTTCTCAACTGTGATCCTGGGGAGTAACTGCTCAAACACAATGTGTCACACATTCTTGACGAGCAATTTCTTATTTATCCAAATGTTTTAGAACATTCAATTCTGAGTTACACAGCAGGTCCAAGGAGGAGAAAATGTCTTTGATACTTGCTGCAAGTATTTGCAGCTAGAGAATGGAACAAATACAAGAAAATTGGATGGAGCCGGGTGGGAGAAAGTTGGAATAGGAACCCGAACAGCTCACACACAAGGGCAATATTTCAAAATTTTTAAATAACTGCATTTTATAAAAGGAAAAATGCTCCATGATACATGTTTGACTAGCAATCTTCAAATGCACAGCTTTGCAACAGAGCAGTAGTGGTATCTGGAGTCTAATGTCTCCAAAGTTGATCCCCCCTTTTCTACAAGTCAAGGATGTTGGACTAGATGACCTCCAAGGTCATTTACGGAATTATCATTCTGTGCTTCTGTGATTTTTGTATCCTTGTGCTTCTCTTAAAAGGGAAGTCTTTTTAAAGTCTTCTATAGAAGGAAACCTGATAAACCAATAAGGATATTCCTAGGGGGAAAAATAGACTGGATTTTCACCACCCACTTCCTACCACCACCAGTATCTAAATAGTAGAAATGGGTTCCTCTGGATTCTGACTATATGTCCCAAGGTAATACCCATTTATTCCTCTCCTCTCTTATCCAACCAGTTTGGTAGACTCTATTTAAATTTCTGCTGTGATTTCCAAAAACATTACATACAGCCCTAGCCTTTTAGAAAATCAATCCTCATCTCCTCTCCCAGTCTCAGTTGGAAACAGGTCATTTTCTGGGCAACACCATCCAGACCTTTAAAAATGATGGGCTCTACCTTATCTAGCCTTCCCATACTCATCCCCTCCTCCAAAGAGCAGCTCAGCGATATTGTTTGGGGGAAAATCATTAGACTTATCAAGGTTAAAACTGATTCCGCCTCCAAATTCCAAAACGAAAACTTCATAGAACTGTGCATGATTCATAATAATGAAACTAATATTCTAAATTAAACTGGGAAGAAGGTTGTAATGTTCTATTAATATCATGTTCATATTCATTGGAATAGAACCTAGCCTTTATCACTGTAGCTAAATAAACCAGGGACGACCCAAGAAAATTCAATAAATCTGAAGAGGCTTGTTTTGTTACAGGATTTCAGATACAGGAATCTTACTAATTTGAATATAGTTTTTTTCATTATTTTTCTACAAAAACTTTTCTACAAAAGTTTGTTTCTAAGGTCCACTAATTTACTGATAATCCCTGTCATAGATGTAATGCAGCTGCCTCTGACACCTCCAAGAACATTCAGAAAATGCTCTCTCTGCTCCAGTTAGAAAATGCCATGGGAATTCCAAGAATAGAAAGCATCCACCAGGGCATTTAGCGCTAGGTTGACAGAACTTGGCTCAGACCTCCAATGCAAAAGCAAGTCCTCCAACTCTGGTTCTGTACTGCTCTGAGGTGCCTTCAAGTCATTTTTTTCTTTTAAGAAAATGTACAAAATAACTTTATAAGACCCATTAGATGATCTCCAGACAACAACATTTAAACTTCTGTATTTGGCAATGAGAAAGTCGAGATCACCTTTTCAAACCTCATGCTCTGCTGAATCATAATAGGGAACACAGAGGGAAAGCAGTCGGTCTCCAGGTATTGATTTAGGAGGTACACCCCAAGGTACACATCTTGCTTGTCAGGAAGGAACACCCCTGGACAAGAAATCTTAAAAACAAAGAAAAAATAGAGAAGAGGGTTTGTTTGGTGTCGTTTTTTAAACGGAGCTCTGTTTTTCCTGAACTCCCACCCCCGCACCCCTTCACCTGGACCTCCCACACCTCCATCTCCCCCTGTCCTCGCCTTCCTCAAGTGCAAATTCCAGTTTCCTCCCACGTCTCCGCCAGGTGTCACAATCGTCCTCTCGCCGGCTCCTCTCCCCGCCCCTCCGGGATGGCAGTGCGGAAGCGGAAGAGGCTGCAGGGCGGCGAGCCTCTCGCTAGGCCGGTCGGCTCCTGGGGTCCGGGCCCCCCGCCGCGATGCCGAGCCCCCGGAGGAACGCGGACGGACGCCCGCTGGCCGCCTCCGCCTCGAGC